AAACAAACTAAAGATTGCATGATAAGTAATGGTTGAAGGGGTCATATGATGCGATTTCAATGTTTCTTTTCTCTTTGGAGTGTTACAAGCTCTTGGTGCATGAAGAAGATCTGTAAAGTTGCAAAGATTAAAGTCTCAAATCCAAAGAGATATTCTTTATAAAAGTTAAGAGTTAACCACGCCTACCTAAAACGGCTCGTTCTAACACGCCCCCACATACCTACGTCACGATGTGGGAAGATTTGCATAACGCCGCCCAAATGTTCACGCAAAGAAAGAAGGCGTAACTTTTATTCTCACTGTAGTATTTGTAGTAAATCAGCTCAAAAGAGAAATATTTATGACTACCCAGGTGAAAAAGACGTAGTATTTAATGTATTAAAAATATACTTGAAATTCAAGTAGTATGTTTATAATACACTTCCCAGCATGCTTATTTGAAGTGCAATAAAAATATATTGAATTGCATTTTAATATATTTCTAAAAAGTATACTAGAAGTACTTTTGTATTAAATATATGCTTAGTTATACTTCTAAGAAATATGCTAAACAGAAGCATACTTTTAATGTATTTATAAAAAGTATACTAGAAATACTTTGGTAATAAATATATGCTTAGTTACACTTTTAAGGAATATGCTAAACACAAGCACACTATTACTATATTTCTAAAAAGTATGGTAGAAATACTATGTTAATAAATATATTTTTAGTTAAACTTTTAAGGAATATGCTAAACACAAGCATACTTTTAGTGACTTTTTAGTGTATTTACAGAAAACATACTTATGTTACCCTTACTTAAAGTATATTTTATGTCTACTTTGTGTAAGAACATAACAAAATGATTACACTTTTAGTGGGTGTTTAATGTACTTTATATTGCAGTAGGCCTACACATGGTTATATTTTAAATATTTATGCATTTATAATTTTAATATTTGGAAAAGTACAATATTTTGAAAAACATTTTTAACATTTACAATGTACAAACGTTTGTCAACTATTATTAAGCATTGCGATATTTAAAATATGTTGTTTAATATGTTGTTCAGTTTTACTTAAAAGGTTATGCTACTTTGGTTGATTAGGCTGTTGTTCATTACATGATACATTAATTGTAATAAGCTAGGTGTTTATAAATTTGTTCAAGCTTGACGCCTTTATTTTCTAATATATATTTCTGAAATTCCCACAAGGATTTCAACATCATATATGAAAAAAAAAAAAACTTGCGTTTACTTGTTTAAATTCAAACAACCCACTGACTAAACCTGATTGGTTCCAGAGCCATTGAACGGCTCTGATTGGTTCGTATGATAATGAGCTCACCCCAGAGAGCTTCGTATATAAAATATGATGTGCGTGCAAACGTCTCTTGAATGTGAATATAAGTCTAAATTTAAACAGTATTATATAGAGCGGCCGCGATCGTGTCTCTTTAGGGCACTTGGAGGAAACCACGCAATTCATATGGATTACTTTGCCGATGTTTTTTTGAGATTTCAACTTTTTGAAACATGAACATCTTTGGTGAATCTTCTTTCATCGGAGGGACATAAATCTCTCAGATTTTTATTAAAATATCTCAGCTTTTCTTTTGAAGATGAACGAAAGTCTTAGATGGTTTGGAGCATCTTAAGGGTGAGTGATGACAGAATTCAAATTGTTTTGGGGGAACTATGAAATTAATTAGAAAATATAGCGGTATGTTCTTATTTTTACCAGCTTCTGCAAGCGCGTATGGCGTCTGGCTTTTGGAACCTCACTGTGACTTCAGGTAAGATTTAATTAACGTTATTTGTCTGTGCCAGTCGTGTTTTTGACACATGCATTGGCAGAAAAAAATAAATAAAATAAAATTAGTCATTATAACATGTACAACATTAACATTCTTTTATTTGCAAAATGAAGTTGTGCATTTATTTATTTCTGATTTCCTGAACAATTTGGCTTCATTGTAATGAGGTTAATGATCTTTGAAAAACCATGATTATGAACATACAATTACTTTGTCCTGAGCTGATTAGCCAACTGTGGTAGTGTTCGTTGATTGGTGTTTATATTTGTTCAAGCTTGACAACCTTATCGCCTTTATTTTCTAATATATATTTCTCATTACAGATAAGAACAAAGATTAAATTGTAAGAAGGGTTGCTTATATGAGAGCATACAGTACATCTGAAACTGCTGAGGCTGGGAAGGCTTTTGACTATATTACCGACCAGGTACATTGTTCTCAGCGTACTGTCATTCTTAAAAAGAAAACAAATCATCAATCATCATTTGCTTTTGTGTGTGTGTGAAATATTAACATTTGTTGTTTTTCAGATCAGCTGCTATAGAAGACAAACTGAAATCTGAGTGCAGAGACAAGCAAAGGAATAGTAAGTATATTTTCATGTTGTATCACCTCTGTTATAGAGATTTTTGAATCAGGCCTAATGGAGGGTGATTTGGTCAATCTTGAAAGAAAAATGTTAGCAATGTGTCCATTCCAGCTGGCTAATTTGTGCTTGCTTTCAGTCATTCATGTAAAAATCTGTTATTTAATTTTGTTTCTGTTTTGTTTTTTTCTAAAGCTGCAAGGCTCTGGTGCAAAATATTGTATGCCAGGAGTCAGGACGACTAGGCTGTGCCCAGGTCTCCAGAACCTGCGACGACGCTCAGCTCCATCAGCCCTCCATCTGCGCCTTCGGATCCACCAGCTCTGTCTCCATCGGTCGGCCCCCAGATGTTGGCAGCCACACCATCTACATCTTGGCTCCTCGCTCCCTCGATTCCGCCGTGTGTTGTCAGCACTGGGATGCTCTGGGTCTGTGCCATGTGCCAAACACCATCTAAGCTGCCAGGGCATCATCGTCATCCTCCCATCACCATCCCTTCGCCACATCCTGCCATCATCCCCGCACTTTTGCCTCTCACCATCCCTACGCCATCTCCTTGTCCACCTCCAAAACCCCCTCCATCCCTCCCTATTCTGTTGCTTGAACTTTATCATCTTCAGTCTTTGAAAAACAAAGTGCATAAGTGAATAGCTGTGTGTGTGCAAAGACTGAAGATGAGAAAGATCAAGCAACAGAATAGGGAGGGATGGAGGGGGTTTTGGAGGTGGACAAGGAGATGGCGTAGGGATGGTGAGAGGCAAAAGTGCGGGGATGATGGCAGGATGTGGCGAAGGGATGGTGATGGGAGGATGACGATGATGCCCTGGCAACTTAGATGGTGTTTGGCACATGGCACAGACCCAGAGCATCCCAGTGCTGACAACACACGGCGGAATCGAGGGAGCGAGGAGCCAAAATGTAGATGGTGTGGCTGCCAACATCTGGGGGCCGACCGATGGAGACAGAGCTGGAGGATTCGAAGGCGCAGATAAAGGGCTGATGGAGTTGAGCGTCGTCGCAGGTTCCGGAGACCTGGGCACAGCCTAGTCGTCCTGACTCCTGGCATACAATATTTTGCACCAGAGCCTTGCAGCTTTAGAAAAAAACAAAACAGAAACAAAATTAAATAACAGATTTGTACATGAATGACTGAAAGCAAGCATAAATAGACAGCTGAAATGGACACATTGCTAACGTTTTTCTTCCAAGATTGACCAAATCACCCTCCATTAGGCCTGATTCAAAAATCTCTATAACAGAGGTGACACAACATGAAAATATACTTACTATTCCTTTGCTTGTCTCTGCACTCAGATTTCAGTTTGTCTTCTATAGCAGCTGATCTGAAAAACAACAAATGTTAATATTCCACACACACACACACACACACAGCTAACAGTTCTTTAATGCATAAAATTAAGGCTAAATAAGTCAAGTAAACTTAAATAGATTAATAAGCATAACAACTGTTACTTTTTTGTCTCTATTTATTACTCAAATCACACTGATTCATTTCTGCGTTAATAGTGTTGTCATAGAAATGCATAATTCCAAATCTGCACCAAATTTCATTTCATTTCCATTATAATTAAAAATAAACTTGTAAAAAAATCAATAGTTGCTTGTTCAGATGGTATAATGACAGAAGTATTAGGGACAGCAAAACAAAACAAACTGAACACAAGATTTTAAAGCTTTTTTTAATATTTAAAATCATCCACAGACTATGCGTTTACAGTCCATGACTGGATTTTATTTCAACTATATACAGTGTAGCATGGCATGTCACAAAATAATGAAATCACGTCTGCTCATTCTCTTTAAAACAATTATTTTCTCTATCCTCTCAGTGGTCTTCTAGTCCATATACACACACTGATATAACAGCTCTGCGGCCCATGACATCTGCAACTGAAGATTCGCTGCCATTTATTTTATTAGTATAGTAATGTTTCTGTATTGGATGCTGCATTATAAGCAGGGAGTTTGAGAATTTCACCTCACACTGGAAAATCAGGATTGATTACATTTTGATTTAGGGAATTAATTTTGACTTGATTTACAAATCTGGTTATGCTGTGAACTGTGTCATAATTTGCATTGCTTTCACTGCATAGAAATGTAAGGTGAAATCTTACTTGTGTTTAAATTCAAACAGCACACTGACTAAACCTGATTGGTTCCAGAGCCATTGAACGGCTCTGATTGGTTCGTATGATAATGAGCTCACTCCAGGCCCAGAGAGCTTCGTATATAAAATATGAAGTGCGTGCAAATGTCTCTTGAATGTGAATATAAGTCTAAATTTAAACATTATTATATAGAACGGTCGCCGATCGTGTCTCTTTAGGGCACTTGGAGGAAACCACGCAATTCATATGGATTACGTTGGCGATGTTTTTCACCAAAGTATATATGCTTGTAATTGTTATTTGTAATGTACACAACAATATATAATACATTAAAGTTTTCTAGATATCAAAGTGTGTACGTGTGTGTGTATATACTGAAAAAAGCAGCTTTATAATATACTAGTAGTGTAATGCTAATGCATTTCCAATGAGCTGAAATACAATTGAAATGTACTTGAAGTACATTAAAACGATGCTTCAAATATACTCTTAACTGTAGTTCATGAAGTATTAAAAGGACATTTTAAATGTATTTTAAGAAATACACTTAAATTGCACTAAATATACTTAAAGTGGTTCCAATTTAACACAATTTCAATATATTAAATATATTACAAATAGATTAAAATCAAACTTAAACATATCTTGAAATACACTTAATATACTTAAAGTTGTTTCAAAATAATTTTTTATTCCCTTTCGTCTGATGCCTTTTTGTCCGAGTCCCTTTCGTCTGATGCCTAATTGTATGAGACCTGACACCTGACGTCGTTTCTCCTGAGACCTGAAGCTTTTCAGTCGGAGGCGCGAAGCCGTTTTGTCCAGCGACTGAAGCATGACTTCATAAAAACGGAATTTACTGTGTAACGCGGAATGTGACGGAATGAACGGCGCAGACGTGCGTTTCGTTTGCTATTTAAGCACGCGCAACTCTCGCGGTTGTCGTCTAGCTCAATAGTATTTTTGCCATTTAATATTCAAGTGAACTGCCTGTCAGAAATCATAGCACGTCAGCTGTCTTAACCGCGGCTTGTGTACTGCATCATCACTGTGTCTGTCACGCGACTCTGTTGCCCTTTCGGGCTTTAACTGGTGGTAAAACTAACGAAATTATTAACTTTTCATCCAGTGTTCCGCTACAGATTGACTCATACGGAAGCATGAATAAAATTTGTCTTTAAAAGATGGCAACTTTCTAATCAGAGTGACAGCTTCTCCCAACTGAAGTCGTGCATCTTTGGAAACTGAGCACACCGCACAGGGCCGGCCCAAGCCTTTATGGGGCCCCAAGCAGAATTTTATTTGGGGGTCCTAAGCCAATTGTCACGAATCCTGTCCATGGACTTCCATTCGATCACCACCAGAGGTCACCCTTCCATTACATTGACTCTCGCACTACACAAACTGTTGCATGTCATCCCGGACTACATATCCCATCATCCATTGCACTAATTGCACACAGCTGTAACCAATCACACATTCACTATATAACACTCACTCAAATCCCTTTCAAACTGCCGAGTGTTGTTTAGCATCTATGCTGTTATGCGTAGCTACTTTGCGGAGCCAGGTCCTAGTTTGAGTTTCTAGTTCTGAGTCTAAGTCTAGTTGATCCGGTTTATGGCCTTAGTATTTCGTGTTTTGATCCTAGCCTGTATAGCTCGTTTCTGTATGATCTCTGCCTGCCCTGAAGTACATCGCCTGTCTTGGATTACTCCTCCCGTCTCACCCTGTTCGGATACTGTTTATTCCTCGCCTGGACCATCGCTTGTGTTTCGGATTACTCTTCAGTCTTGCCCTCTATATACCTGTTTGCCATTGTCCGACCCTTGCCTGTTTTGACTATGTTTCAGAATAAAGCTTTGCACATGGATCCGCACGCCTCTCGTCTTGTTTGCCCCGTAACACCAATACAACTGATAATGCTTGATTATACCCATTATCAGTTTTATTGGTTGTGTTTCTTCCATCATGTCTGCCTGACATATTTTTACCCTTCTACCATTTTTCTAAGGAAAGCTGAATAATCATTTTAATGAAAATTGACAACGTGTTAGATGTGTTAGATAGTAAATAGTAGGCTACACATTGTGAAGGTAACTACAAAAGTTTACTCTTGTTTTTTTTCCAAGTTCAGTGGCCACTTTCATGTATTTCGGGAGATAAATGGATGAAGGCTATATGTTAATCTGACAGATCCACACGACAGCAGCGCGCATTATAGATCAAATATGGTCATTAAGGTTGTTTAAACGACAAAATGAATTAACTTACACATATTTGACAATCAGACTAGGCTATATCATAGATAGGCTATATGCCGCGGCCCGGCACAAATCCAAATGTGGCCATTTAAAAAATAACTTTCAGTTTTACAATTCATTTTAGGGTTTAAATTATTTTAAAAATGTACTTAAATATACAGTAAGTTTGAGATATAACGTTTTTGTCATAGGAAATAATTTTGGTTTATCACATGAAGATTGTCAGTTATGCAAGTAGCTGCATCCTCTTGCAGCTTATTCAACAGAAGCGTGTTTCAGTGTGTATATGTGTTTGTCAATGTGTCTGGAAATAATGGCAGAGACGGAGAGATAGAGGTTTGAATATAACAAAAGATCATAATGTTCACAGCTGTTCAGATAGAACTACTCACAGCATGAGGCAGAAGAGATTCAGTGTCTTAAAAATGCAGAGAAAAGTCCACTGACTGGCTCTCAAGAGCTTTGCTGCAGGCTTGTGCTGGTTGCCAATGGCTAACAGAAGTAAAAAAATATGAACAAGCCCACACACACACACACACACCTTTGAGTTTTTGTCTTATATTTAAAATATTTTATACAGTTAAGCTATATCACAAACAGTGGTGTATGGCAGACTTTTATTTTTGACATGGCCAAAATTGAGTGGCCACATTCATTTAGAGTTCTTCACCATCCTTTTTATCCTCATTGCCAAAATCAAACTAAGTGAATCAACATTCAGGCCATTTCTGGATTCAATCACTGTTCATGTTATTCATCTACAATAAAGTACAGCACTCTTCATAGGCACAGTACAGAACTGAACTAGTGCTGCTGTTGAATGACAGTCTGCTGTTTGTGTGGAGATCACGAGAAAACGAGGAAGAAAGAAATCATGAATGGCCGTATATTTGTCACCACAAGCATAACAAAGCTGCTTACCTGCTCTTGATTTGGACTGGACAGAGTCACCATTATATCAGAGCAAAGGAGATGCATGAGTCAGAAAGTTCACAGAAAAGACTTTTCAGTAGTAAATACGCAAGGAGATACACATTTAAACACCACTAATTCAATATGAGAACTGTTAACAAGGGCACTTAATGAGAGACAGGTGAACATAATCACACACACACACACACACACCTTTGAGTTTTTGTCTTATATTTAAAATATTTTATACAGTTAAGCTATATCACAAACAGTGGTGTATGGCAGACTTTTATTTTTGACATGGCCAAAATTGAGTGGCCACATTCATTTAGAGTTCT